GTGTGTGTGTGTGTGTGTGTGTGTGTGTGTGTGTGTGCGTGTGTGCGCGTGTGTGTGTGTGCACGAGCAAGAAAAAGAGCAACCTTAGCTAATATAAAGCATCAGTAAGAGCAGTGTTTACTGACATAAAGCAGTGTTAGCTCATATACAGCAGCATTTAAGAAACGTAAAGCACAAGTGAAGCAGCGTTAGCCAGTTTAAAACAGCATCGGCTATAATAATGTGACGGTAAAGCTAAGATAATGTAATGCAATGTTATCAAATATAGAACCGAAGTTATAGCAGTGTTAACTACGACGATAAAGTTGCAGTAAAGCAGCCTTAACTAAAGCACTGTTAGCTAATATAAAGCAGTGTTATCTAATACAAAACAGTGTTCATCGAGTTTACGCAGTAAAGCTATGACAAAGCGGCAGTAAAGAGGCTTTTTGTCTGCGCACACCTCAGTGTGTTTACCTCATTCAGTTGGAACAATAAGTGTAACCCCCACCACACACACACACACACACACACACACACACACACACACACACACACACACACACACACACCTGACTTCCTGTCCGGATCCTCACCTCGTCCGTCAAGCACGTGTCACTTTGAGAACACTAATGCACGTTTATCTCTCCAAAAGTAAACATCCGTCAAGACCTCTATTGATTTGACTTTTCCTCCTCCCGCAGATCGCTCGCTGCTGGAGGTGAAGCAGCATCAAGCGTCGGAACCCTCGCCTCCCCCCACCGTCACCCCCCGGCCCGCCAAACGAGAACACAGCGTCCTATCCATCCTGCGGGACGTTCCGAAGAGTGAGCCCAGTCGCCCACTACCCACCCGCCCGCGCTGCGCTTACAGCCCCGAACGTCCCTTGTACCCGCGCGCCCTCTACCCGCCCCTCAGGGGGCACCCAGAGGACTTCCTCAAGGCGGGCGCTCTGGGGTACCCCCATTCCCCCGGTGACCAGTCGTCAGCCACGCCCAGCCCATCTGCGAGGAGCAGCCCGGAGAGCAGCCCCCAGGGGAGCCCGTCGGCACCCTTCTACCCGGGTGGACTAGGGCCATACCCCAGTTACTCGCCACCGTCCGCTGCCCCGCTGTCATCTTTCTACCCACCGGGGGCGCACTACTCTCGCTACCTCCTGCCGCACCACTACCCGCTTCCTGGGGGAGGCCTCCCCACCGTGGGCGGCATCTACCCGAGGATGTACCCGCTTTACTTGCCGCCCCATGTTCCCCTCCTGCCCTCGGATGCAGCCGGGCGGCGCTTCCTGTTGTCGGAAGCCACCCACCCGTCCCGGGACTTCCTCCTACCAGTGCCCACCACCGCCTTCTCAGCCGCCAACTCCCTCAAGGACAAGGCGGCTCCGCACCACCCTTATGCTGGGCACCACTCTCCGTCTACCGGATCCCCCGCCGCGGGGATCCCTGGCGAGCGAGCGCCGACCAAACTGTGCGACTCGGATGAGGAAGCGGTGAACCTGGTGAAGGTGAAGAGGGGTGTCGGCTCAGCCGGGTACAAGGCGCTGCCCTACCCACTCAAGAAGCACAACGGGAAGATCAAGTACGAGTGCAACGTTTGCACCAAGACCTTTGGACAGCTTTCCAATCTCAAGGTGAAGACCCCCAAAATGGGTTCCCCTAATTGAGAGGCACCGCTTTCACGGTTCCTGTTGCTCCTATTTTTACTTGACTTGACTCAAGTTCGACTTAAGTCAGCAATTTCGAGACTAAGCTGAGCTAAAACGTGTGAAACTCATGAGTCATGACTTGACTCTGATTTGGTTTTCATGAGACTCGAGTCAGATCTAAGTCACCAATTTTCGGACTTGGATTGGCTAAAACTTGAGCAAGTCTTGTTTTGACTTTGACTTGGAATTCTTGGCACTCGATTTGACGATGTTAAGGCTTGTTTTTGCTCAGAATTTTTTAAAGTCTTGACTTTGTATGCATGACACTGTTGACCCAAGTCAGATTTAAGTCACTGATTTCATGCCTTGGCATGGCTAAAACTTGCAAAATCTTGACCCTGACTTAGTAGTCATGAGACTTAACTCAAGTCAGACTTAAGTCGCCAATTCTTGTCAATTCGACTCGCTTGGTTATCGTGAGACTTGACATGACTTTGACTTGAACTCCATGACATTTGAAAATCTGTATTTTCAAGATACTTTGCCATTTGAACGAAGCTTCATCCTTGAAGTTGCGCATTGGGTTGTTGATTCACAATTTTTAAGATCAAGACAAAACGATAAAAGTATGACATTAGCGGCATGTTCGGATTCAAAAAAACAGATTGTAAATGTGTTAGCGCAGCATAGTACCGCAAGTGAGTGAGTATGAAGTGGCTTGTGGAAGGTCAAGACTTGAGACTTGACTTTGACTTATATCTGCGACTTAGACCCACCTCGTGTGATTTGTTTTTCCTGACCACCACTGTCCTGCCGTGCAGGTCCATCTCCGCGTCCACAGCGGCGAGCGACCGTTCAAGTGTCAGACATGTAACAAGGGCTTCACGCAGCTGGCCCACCTGCAGAAACACTATCTGGTCCACACGGGAGAGAAGCCGCACGAGTGCCAGGTGAGGTTTTGGGCACCTATTTGGGGCTGGGGCAATGAGTTGTCGTCATACTAGAAAAATGGAGAGTAAAAATGTTTTTTAAATGTGCAAAAAAAATTAAATAATAATTCACATCACAGATCTTACATCTTCTATTTGCTGTGTGTCAGGTGTGCCACAAACGCTTTAGCAGTACCAGCAACCTGAAGACCCACCTGCGCCTCCACTCGGGCGAAAAGCCGTACCACTGCAAGCTGTGCCCGGCCAAGTTCACGCAATTTGTGCACCTCAAGCTCCACAAGCGCCTGCACTCCCGCGAGCGCCCCCACAAGTGCCCGCAATGCCACCGCCACTACATCCACCTGTGCAGCCTACGCCTCCACCTCAAGGGCTACTGCCAGACCGCCGCCCCCCACCCCACCGTGGACGAGGTCCAACGCGCCAACGAGGAGATCGAACGCTTCGATATGAGCGAGCACGCCGAGCAACTGGAGAGGCTCCGAGGCGGAGCCGAGTTGGACGCCGTCCTTGAGAAGCAGGTTCTGGGGGCCGCGTGGCGCCAGACGTCGGTCATCAAGGTGCGACGCGGACTCGCCGTCAAGCAGGAGGCGGACCCGTGAGGGAGCGGGAGAGGTGGACCACTTCAGGGACTCGCTACTCAGGGCTCAAATTAGACAATCAGGCTACTATGGTCTCCATTTCCACTTTTTCTTTTTAATTTATTCGCTTATGATGATGTTTCCAGAACATTCTTCAGGGTTTACAAGAATGATTCCACTATTTGACTGTGTCCCTTTTACCACTTTATTTAAACCACAGGAACAAAGGGTGAGTGTGTGCGTCACAACAGTTACCTCAGAGTGCAAATGAGAGTGTGTGTGTGTGTGTGTGTGTGTGTGTGTGTGTGTGTGTGTGTGTGTGTGTGTGTGTGTGTCTGAGAGAGTGCGTTAAAGGAGAGGCTGAAGATGGAACTTTTTTTCTATTTATTTGCTCTTTGGCTACTTGACGAAGAAATGGAAGTGGAGCGCAGCTGGGCAACATGTAGCACCTGTTTTGTCATTTTGTTTTGATTTTTTTTGTTGTTGTTTTTTTTTTTTTTTTTTTTTTTTATAACGATGACACTGTCGGTGACGTGGATGTGACACTGCAAACCAAAGTTGACTGCATGGACTTCCAGAATGCGAAAAGCAGGAAGAATGTGAAGAAGGGAATTGGATTTGATGTTATTTATTTGAGTCTTCAGATGAATCTTTGGGTATTTAATTGTACTTCTTATGTTATTCGGAAGGAAATATGGACATTTTCAGTCAGGCAGATGTGACACTCGAAACCAAAGTTGACCAGATTTCCAAACGGAAAACAACCAAAGCAGCAAAAATTGGAAGATTTTGTTATTGTCCTGAATATTATTTTCTCTTGCTTTTTGTTTTCCTTTTTGTAGTGGCTTATTTTCATTTCATTTTACAATTTTATTTACATTTCACCTAAATTTTACTTGAAAAATCTTTTTTTTCTTTTAAAAGAAACACTGTATGTGACACTCCAAACCAAAGTTGACTGGGCTTCCAAACTGCAACCATCCAAAGCAAGAAGAACTTGAAAAAATAATGTTTATATATATTGGAAATTGTAATTTGATTTTAAAATGTTATTTTTCATTTTTTTCCCTCCCTTTTTATTTGTTTACTTTCATTCGTATTTTGCATTTTGTTCTAATTTTTTATTTTTTAATATATAAATTGAGGTCGGGATTTTTTTTTTTACTTTTCAAAATTTTTCATTTTAATTTTATTGTTTTTCTTTTCAGTCTGTTATTGTTATTGTTCTTTTCTTTGAATTTTTTTTTTTTTTGGGGGGGTGGTATTTTTCTTTTTTCTCTTCATAATACACCCGTGTCCGTATTTGACACTCCAAACCAAAGTTGAGTGGACTTCCAAACTGCAAACGAAACTAAAGCAGGAAGAATGTGAAGAAGAAATCAAGGACTTTGATTTAGTTGTTTGTTCCTAGCCCCTCCCCCAAGCACTCTTATGCACTGGCCCCTCCCACTTTCTCAGCTTCCTCTTTGACCAAAAAGTGTCTCGTCTGTTTTTCGTGAGCTTCAACTCCACAAATTACGTGTGTGTGTGTGTGTGTGTGTGTGTCTGTATTTACATGCTGGTTGGTTTACAAATCGTTTTATTTATGTGCAAAAATGTCCAAATGTGTAAATTATGACGAGAACTATTATAAATGTTCACTGCTTTTAATCTAAACCCTGGTATGTTCTTATTGACATCTACAAGAACAAATGCTACACGGAAATATGTTTTTACACTTTTATAGTATCTCGATTTTTCATGGAGAAAGTATGGGGAAAAAATGTCAAATAAAGGCAAACATTATTTTAAAATAGGAAGTCAAGCAAACATTTAAGTTGCAATCATGTATGCATTTATATATCCATACATATCTCCATCCATGATCTAATCTGCTTATCCTCTGGTTGTGAGGATGGTGGGTGTGCTCTCTCTCTCTCTCTCTATATATATATATATATAAATTGACCTTTTTTGTCGAGTACATTAGATTTTTAATAATACTATATGCTATACTCTAGTACAGTAATTTTTATGAACTGATGGTTCGGTGGAATTTTTTTTTTCTGAAATGAAAAATCACAGCGCATGGTTAAAAGAAAAAAGCTGGGTAGTTCAACCTTAAAAACTAAAAATGAAAACGTATAAAAATGAAAAGAACTTTGTGTGCTCAAAAAAAAAAAAAAAGTCAAGAAGTTTTTGACATCAGCGTAAAAAAAAAGTAAAGGAACAAATCAAGCCATCCGGGTTCAAGTTTACTAGTAACGAGTGGTATTTTCAAATGAGCATGGCCCAAAAAAGAAATCAAAAAGGGGAAATATTCATGATTTTTTTTTTTAAATTCAAAAAGTTAAAGTAAAATTTTAAATTGTCCATTTCATTGGTTTGCACCAAAATGACAATATACTGAGATTTTTGGCATCTTGGTGGGGAAAAAGGCAAATAAATAAATTAATACATAAATAAAAATGAAAAAAAACCCCAACATGCCTCCCTCCAAAAACATTTTGGATTAAAAAAAAAAAAAAAGTCTAGTTTTTCCATACAGAACAAAAAGCATATTGTCACATGGGAAAATATGAGTCGCGGACAGAGTCACGCTAATAATAGTCCAGTCCAAATAATAAGTTGCAGCTTGCTTTGCTGACTATTCACATTTGCTGCCACTCGTCTTCACAATTTCCTTTTTTTTTTTTTTTTATGACGAGGCAGGAAGAAGAAAGTCGTCAACGTTTATGTTGTTCTGGCGGTCCCGCTTCAAGAGAGCGGCAGGAAATGGAACGCCGACCCCCAAGGCCTGCTGCGACCGAGCGCTTTCATCAACCGCGTCTCATCTTACAGATGTTCAGTTGAATCGCCAAAGCGTCGTCTTCACATGTGGATGCGCCGGAATGCATACCAGCTGACTTCTGGCGAGAGAAGCGGGCTGCATCCTCAACTGCTTGCTAGCCAGTCGCAAGGACAAGCGTTCATACTCAAAGGTGGGGAAATTAAAACAACACCTCGTTTTCTTCGGTCACGTTTTGGATAAATCGTAGTCGCCAGATTAGTTTTGGTGCAAAATACTTTTACTTGAGCAGGCTACAGAACGCATGACTATTTTGAGATGACTGTATTGTCATGAGCGAAATCAGAACTTCAATATGAGCCGCCATGAAACGAACAGGAAGTGATGCTGTGCTCTACCTTTGCGTTTCCTGAGAGTGCGCCACCCCCCAAACATTTGACTCATCATCTTTCAGTTCTTCCGTCCTTTTATTTGTGTGAGGGAAACTTGTCGCTTCCCTTCGGCATCTTAATTCCATGCCTTGGCGGGAACCGTTTGTGACGCGTCTCCTGAGAATGCGAACCGCCAATTAATTTTCTGTTTGCGCCGTCAACCTGCCAAAACCGCAGACAAGTCGGGGTGAAAGTGCCAAAATGTGGATGCCACTCATGCACATCAGGGTGCAAAAAAAAAAAAAAAAAATGTCCAAAAGATTTAAAATATGACCAAAAAAAAAAAGAAAATTTAAAAACAGAAATATAAGGAACATGTAAGAAAAAAATGAAAAATGACCAAAAAAGGAGTAAGGAAAAAAAAAAAAATTTAAAAACTGAATAAGGAAAATATATTTTTTTAAAAAAGCTAATTTAAAGTAGGGAACATATTAAAAAAAAAAAAAGTTAATAATTGAGGAAGATGCATAAAAAAGTATCAAAATAAAATAAAGAAAATGTAAATACATATTAAGTATAAGGTGTGTATTTCCTTTTTGTTTGAGGATATACAAAACAAAATGAACATGTTTGGAGATTTTTTTTTTGGGGGGGGGGGGGTTGCATTTTCACCCACATGCAAATTTATAAACATCACTTCGCCTTGTCTACCATTTGTCTCTCACGCACGCACTGCGTTCCAGTGTGACTGCATTTCCGGAAGCCAAAGTGTTTCCCTCCCGCCCCCTCCGCCTCCAGCAAGCATTTTTTTACGGTAAATACGGTGGAAGGCGTCGCGGAGGTCCGGCAGCCAGGATGAAGCCTGAATCATCCTCATCATTGACCGACCCCCCCCCACCCCCGCCCTTTCACAAACCAGCGACAGGAAGGCCGGGGGGGGCGGGGGGGGCAAACGGCGACAAGTCGTAAACAAAGCAGCGGACCACGTGCAAACGAAGGCCACATTTCCTGTAAAAGCTTGCTGAAACTGTACTTGATTATCACCTTTCATCAGATTTACAATCAGTGAAGCCTGGATTTGACTTTTGCTTTGGCTTGCAGGGGATGCGGGGCGCAGTCACAAGGTTTTGAGTCAATATGTAAGTACAGGGTCACAGGTGAGCTGAAGCAGTTGACTTTTTGGTGAGAGAAGCGGGGTGCAAGGCGCTTGAGGTCGCCGCTCGAGTGTCAAGGCGCATCTGGAGTAGACGAGCGTTCAGACTCAAAATCCACGGGCAATTTAACACTTTCAGGGACAGCGGTTACTACAGTGGACAGCTTATCATGTTATCCGGTGACAGGGTGATTGAAAGTATTTGAAACTTCAGGACTTTTTTGATTCATTTGTTTGAGGGAGGAAGGAAACAAGGATGAATGGAAGGAAGGGAGGAAAGGAAAGGAGGGAGGAAGGAAAGCTGGAAGGAAGGGGAGAAAGATTGATGGGGGGTGTATGGGAGGGAGGGAGACAAAGCTGATATGAAAGGAAGGAAGGAAAGATATAAAGAAGGGGGAGGGAGGCCAGAGTGAAGTGAGGAAAAGTGGAAGATTCGGGGATACAAGTTTGGGAACTAGAACGGTCTGTAAGAAAGGGAGGAAGGACGCAAGGAAAGGAAGGACTGTGAAACCAAGAATGGAAGGGGAAAAAAAAACAACGTGAAAGGCAGGAAGGAAGGATACAAGAATGAAGAAAAGAATTGATGAAGGAAGGAAGCAAAGAATGTGAAAGGAGGATAAAACAAAGGACGCAAGGACGGTACGAATCGAAGGAAGCACGGAGGAAAGAAGGGAGAGAAGAAACAAGAGCAAGAACAGAAGTAAAGATGGAAGCAAGAGAGGGGAACGATATTGGAATATCTAAACCTGGCGTCAAAGAATTGCCTTGAAATTGTAA